AGTATTTCTGATAGTATTAGATGGTTGAGAACAAAAAATATATTAGACAATGGCACTTGAAAACTAAGAAAATTTTAGTTATGTCCATTCAAACTAGTTCTATCCTACATATCCTAAAATCAAAATCATATAGGTAAGCATTTATATGAAACGATTGCCTATCTTCACCTTATATATTAAGGTCAACAAAAAGAGCAGTTTATGGATAAAGGGCAAGAATAAAGAGGTAGCCTTTAAACATGATTAGTTGGTGTCTATTAAAGACGTGTTAAAATGAAATATATACTGCAGGTGGAGGAAATTACTACCTCCTACTAGAATGATAGACTTGCTATATGTGTATTTCACTATACCTTTAAAATATTTGTGAATTTGACTGCATTCTGAGGAGACAGAGCAATGTGGTAGATTTATGAGGGTCTGACGGAAACAGGGCTAGGAAAGATTATGGCATACTTGTTTAGAAAAACTGAGAACTGAAGGTTCCTGATTTACACTGACATATATCTAGATGAAACTATAGTTTGCAAATTGCCTAGAGGAGCCATCTTTTATTAAGTGTTTGATGGGTACAGAAACGTACATATCTATCCTAAAACATTCTAGGAATACTGATGCTGTATTTGCAAATATGATCTTAACCTTTTTAGATTTTCTTAAATCTTTTTATCTTTATGGTCACCTCATCTAATCCTGTTTTGAACGCTCATGCCTCCTGAACAAGCCCTATGGTTAGAGAAAATTTTTTTGCATTATTTTGAATTATTGGGACAGTGGTATGCTGCAATACCCTCCACATCACAGCACTAGGAGAGATCAAACCACAGCTTAGGCACTTTTTACCTTTTTCAGCAGACTACCGACATATTGGACACATTAAACTGCATCTTTACAATTTAGAAAATGGAGGAGGGTTATAGTTCCCAGCTTTCAAAATTAGTACTTTTCTGAAGACTTTCAGCTGTGATACTATGTTGTAATGTCAGTAAATATATACATTTTGAAATTAGGCAAGCAGTAACAGATAGAGCATGCAGTTTTACCAAGTACTGTCAGGTTTCTTGCAAGGATAGCATGAAAGGTTAGGTCCCGTACTCAGGTCAACTGTCGTTCCTTTTATTCCAACTGACCCAAGTTGGATTACTTGTCTAAGGTGGGAGGGAGGCTGGCTTTGCACTGTTATTTTCATAATATTAACTTTTTCTTCAGGAGTTGTTACTTCTTAATCTTATTTTACATCATTATTATCATATTGAAAATCTGTATTAGTCAGGACAATTCTGCTTTCATAATTCACATTTTATCAATGCAATTAAAATTGGTATTTACGGACGCTTCAGGAACAAAATTATCGATTTAAGATCAATTTAACAATGGATGATGTTATGCTTTTCAGTTCTGTCAGCATATTTTCAAGCCAGGTGAATATGTTACACAAATATTAGGCAATATTTTACATAATAATCTGCCTATTAGGTGGTAAGTCTTACAGGGCTCACAGGTACGCTTGCTCGTCGGTTATACATAGAACATGCTTTTTTCAACACACCGATGTGGAAACAGGATTAAAATACCAGCATTTTTAAAGATTTTGCTGACTTCTACTGTAATAAGCAGCGTTTGTTACTGTGAGCTTTTGAGTGCCCATAGTGAAAACAAAGTCGATGGTCTGACTACTGTTTACAGCAGCATTACGAAAGTATGTGTTCAGTGCACTGATAACCTTACAAAAGGCTTTCTGTGTTATAAAATAATATGAAGATTTCTACATCAGTGGTTAGTAATATGCACTGGACCATTCTGGTCAGTAGCTAGCATACTTTTCTTAAATCATTAACTCATTAGATCAGGGCAGGGTTGTCCGGATCTTTCTGGATATTTGGATAGTGCCTAGCATACTATAATGTGTACTGGAATATAAGGAAATAATTGGCACTTGTTAGGTACAAGCAGCACTTGTTAGCATAGGTTTTTGAGCATGCCAACAAGCAATTAACCTCAGCATCAGTCAATCACCTTTTCCTAGTTAACTCGCATTATACTTTGAGGACAGCTGCCATCGTCTTGTGGAAAAATACATGTAACTATGCCCCTAACTGTCATGTGAGTTTTAGACCAGTGCAACTTTATTCTATCTGAAAGAGTCGGAGCTTTCTAAATAGGAGGGTAATCAAGAAAATTATTTTTCCTCCATGACTGTAAATCAGGAGTAAGTGCACTTAATTCACTGGAACTACTTCTGTGCAAAACTGTGGCACCCAAATCAGAATCAATCTTTCGTTTCCGCACCCAAGAGGTGGAAGTGCAGCAATGTACATAAGTCAATCAAAGTAATGATGTTGCTTAGTAATGTAAATGCAGAATAGTAGATTGCTGATACCGAGAAATTTGCACCCACGTATTGCACCTGTCAGTGAAAGGGAGGTTACGCTGAAACGGTAGTGCAGCGTGGAATTAGTCCCTAATCAGAGAGGACTTCTTTTCTATTAGATATGTCTTAAGACAGTATGGTGAGGTTATTTTTCAGCTCATCATTACTACTGGTAGCAGGAATAGCTGGTTTTGTTTGTTTTTCTTTTCATTCTGTTTTTCTAAGACCTGGTAAGTGCCTTCAATGCATTTTTGAAAGGAGCAGATGACTAGGGAAGGGTTTGTGCGTGTTATTTGGATATATCAGACGGTGGGCTAATATGACTGTTTTATTCCCCATTTCCATACCAATAAGAGTGGTTTTCATGGATGAAAGATATGGATGACCTGAACTGTGATTTAAAGTGGACCTTTTTTTTTTTTTTTTCAAATAGCAGGAAGTAACTTCCATAAATGACAACTTCTTTTCTTTTCAAAACTCCATTGAAATACAGAGATGACACCTGTATGAGGCTTTATTTTTAGAAAGAGGGACTGGGACATTTCTTCTCCCTTGACTATCAGAGTGACATATAAATATCACTTCTTTTACTTTTTCTGTGACTTTTGTGACTTGTGCCTTGGTGTGTGACTGCGATGTGCATTTTTTGTTGACAGAAGTGAATAAGGTATAGAGTGTACTAAAGGAAAGTATGCCTGGTCCAAACAGGGAGCAATATGCAGGATAACTAGGGAAAAATGTGGATTTACTGTAAACTCGGTTCTCCCTGTCCAGTCCCATTTGGGAATAGACAGACCAACATGGAATATTTTTGTAGGTAACTGAGCAATGGAAACAAAAAAGGAGAGAGAAAGTTGAGGGCCTGTAAGGTATTTTCATACTGGTCTTAAGGGTTTTTACATATTCGGCTCTGAATAAATCCATCTTCCAGTCAAGAATTGGAATCTGCCCAGGTCAGGTAGGAAAACCACGGAATATATCTTTCTTTTTCGTTTCACAGAAATTTAATTACTATTGCTTAATACTCTCCAACTTTTACAGCCAGACATTCTTTTGGGAATGTTAAAAGAATTAACTCTTTTGGGGATTTTGTGTGTGTGTGTGTCCTTTTCAAATAATCACAGTGGAAAACACCTTGAGGCATATTCTGATCTCAAAATCACTTTATTTTGGATTAAGTCAATCAGCAAAAGCTCTTTTTACTAGTTGGGCCTTACCTCAGTGATGTTAACCATTTTTCAAATGTAAAATTATCTATTTGTGTAACAGCAATACAAAAGCAAAATAATACAATATTTTAAAGCTGATCTGTACCAATGTGTCTTCTTCTAACTGTATCTGTACTAGGTTATAAATTACAATTTTCATCTTGCCCTGAGCTTCTGGCCACCTTCCTTGGTGCCAGAATTTACTTTCCCTGAGTTACTCCTCAGTGTAAAGTCTAGTCTCTTCCAGCTGAGTTAATAAATAGTTACTTTTAAAAGTAATCAGGTTCACCCTGGCTGAGCTGGTTTAGGCAGTGACCATGTGAGCGGCTTCATCAGCAGCTGCGAAGGGGTTGTAACCTCCATCGCAGGTATGATGTTTAGCTAGGAGCCGGCTGAAACTGCTTGCCTTTGCAGCTAGTGCAGTTACAGTTAGAGAAAGGCGTATAATTAAGCTAGAAGTATATGAAGCACGTTCCCATATCAACACAGAAATGCAAGGAGATACTGCAGTAAGTGCAGTATATGATACAACATATGTTTAATGTTACGTACACTTAATGGTGTTACTGAGGTAGGATAAGAAAATATATGAAGCTCTCCGATTGCTGGGAATCACTATTATGTGCCTCAAGAAAGCAAAATGTGTTGGTCTGTATTTCTCAATAGTTCTCTGCTGTGCAAACTATTAAGCAATTTTAACAGCTCTTGAAGAGAAGACGGATATTTGGACTAAAATATAATTCAGTATTAGATTAATTATGTAAGAACATGAAGAAAATTGGCGGAATGCAGAACCATGTGAAGCAGCAGAAAGTGTCCCCACCGGTGAAAATGCTGAGATATATAGTATAGAAAATGTTAAATTTTGCTATAAAATATGTTTCCTTGTAGTATTTCTGCTGAAATCAGCTTTTATGTTACAGGGATGAACTCTAATAATTATTAATTATATAAGCTCATAATGTAGACTCAGTGTGTTGTGAGCATGGCAAATTTGTTAACTTATTTTTAGACTAATCAATGCTTTTACTAATATTTAAAGATGGTAGATGTAGAGAGAGAATAAGATAGTTCTTTCTTTGTTCTGCCTCAATAACAGTTCTATTGCCTTTTTGCCTAGGGAGCTAGAGAGTAGTCTTGGTCATTTAACTCATATCTTCAGCATGTCCATGCAGTGCAGCACATTTTTGCCTCTTGGTTATTAAGACAGGCCATAAAAATCCATTTTAAACGGTGACTTAAGGAATGCATCCTTGTCAATAAACATGAATTTGTAGCCCTTGTCATCTTTGATGATTAAAATATATGGTTACATAACATAAAATGGTATTAATTATTCAGTCTAAGTGCTCTGTTCTGATTTTTTTTTTTTTTTTTTTTTTTTTTTTTTTTGTATTTATACACATATTTTCTTCTCCTAGGTATCTTTTTAATGCTGAAATGGGCATACTAATTGTGAACGATGCGGTAAGAAGCTCCTTCTAAAATATGCAGTGACTTATTTACTGGAATTTTACAGGCCATGCACTTAAAGCTTCTTTTGCCTCTCATCACGTGAACAAACCTCGCAAGCCTTATTGCCAGCTCAGGATTCTGCGCAGTAACAGTGACGCTGAAGCAAACCCCACCATTAGACAGTGCCGAGAAATTGGCCTGGGACCTACGGCGGGAGGAGAGACCTCGTTACCAGAATTTGCTCACAGTTATGCTTTTGGCAACTGGCGTGTCCATGTCACTCGGAGCTGCCACCTCTGTGTCTTCAGACAGAGCTCCACGAGTGGTGGCAGAGCAAATTGTAGTCTTCATTTTGCAGTACCAAGAGAGACCAATTATTTACATATCCAAACGGCAGAATCTACTAGGTCACTTCCTGCGACCCATTACTTTGAACCACAAGGCTTTCCAAAAGCCCTAAAAAGAAATGGGATGTAGTTTGGGGTCTAAAAGTTTTATTGATGTTTTTGGTGCGAGTTTCCTTTTTTATTGTATCATCTGTTTTTTGTCCTGCCGGATGAACATGAAATATGGGATGTTTCTGTCATTGCTTACAAAGAATGACTGTTTAAAGGGACTGTCAGAGATCAGAAGACAAATCTCTGACCCTCCTTAAGACTGTTTTAATCTGAAGAAGAAGGTCTTTTAATAGCTAGGTTTTTAGAGAGTTTATTTTACTTTGTAAGGAAACTTACTGATTCATGCCAAGACTACTCCTTTATAACAGCTTGATTAGACTTTCAATTCAGTATTTCTTATATTCTTTTGCTTATTAATTTAGGCAAATATTTAACTCTGTGTTTAAATGACGCACTATTTTTCCACGCTTCAGACATTTTTTCCTGAATCCGAGCCTTGAGTTTACTGACCGTTAGTACAATTTCCAGAAATGTATTGTCACCAGTGAGAGTGCTGCGTACCAAGATATACGCATGTAGATGTTAAGGGGGAGCACAGATAATGATGTTTTTTTTAAAAAACAACTCCATTCACCGAAGAAGCAGTGGGAAGTCAAAGTTATTCAACAAAAATGAATAAGTGCAGCCTGGAAAGGTATTTATTTTCCAAACTGCAAGAGAATCTTGAAAACAATAGGCATAACATTAAAAAAAAAGCCTAAATAAATTGCTTGATTAATTTTCTAAAAAAACTCTAAAACGTAAAAAAATAGCATTTGATAATGAAGAAAATCCTCTGGAGTTGTTTGACCTGGTGTTTAGGGAACCCTGGGAGAACTGGACTGGGAACTGCTCTCTGCTGCCATTGCAAAAGTGTGTAGGGCATTTAATCTCTGTTAGTTGCCCTGTCTGTAGACAGAGATCATAACGTCGACTTCTATCAAGTTTCTTGAAATCTTTAAATATACAAGTTTATTCTTTAAGGATTATTTTCATAATGAACCAAATAGAGTGGTTCATAATGTACTTAAAAATTGATAATTGGATTTAGTGCTTCTGAGATAAAAGACAGTCTGGTCTACTTAGCATGAAAGAGCTGGTTCCTTAATTCGGAGGTCGTAGGGGCAGCTCTAAGTTTATTTTTATTTATTTATTTGTATACTCTTTAATGCTATCATATCTAGGATATGCATATCTCTGGAGACTGACAGAAGGTAGGGTGGCTGTGAGTCAAAACACTTCCACTAGGAGATACAGCGATCAGCAGAGTTCTGTCTTCCTCACAAAAACATGGTATGCGTTAGTTAGCATGGCACATATTTCAAATTTCAGATACTAAACTTTCAGGAACACCTTTTTCTGTCCCATTTGTTAAATGTTATTGTTGGAAGACCTCTTACCTTCAGAGCAATGCAGGTTGGGTCATGGGTTCTTGCAGGATTTTACTAGGAAGAAAAGGTCTAATGGAGATGCACAGAGACCCTTGTGCAGATGGCTTTGTTCTGCTGCTCATTTCCTGGAGCTTCAGGAACTGCTCGTAGGTTCTTTTCTGAAGGAGTCTGAGCAGAGGTGAATACTGCTCAAGTGAAATTTAGAAAGTGGGAATATTTTTCTACTGGTCCTTGGTCTGTGCTTGTATGATAAGGAAGATGAGGCACCCAGGAACTTTTGCACTGTATTTTCATCTTAATTTCCAAATTTTTCTTCTGCTGGGTGCTGTGCAACAAGGGAATATCAGACACTCACATTGTGAATTAACTGAGAGCTTAAGTGAAGTAATTCATTCTCTGCAAAATTTCTCGGATTTTTAAATACAGCAAGAGCTAGCTGCAAAAGTATCAGGAAAAGCAGAGGTTTTCAGGAGGGAAGTTGGTATAGAAAACACTAAAACCCAGGCTAATTCTATTTATTTTATTCAGATAGGTAGTGCCATTGGTTTCTTTAGGATTTCTTGAAAGAACAAGGCAAGAAAGGCTGGGGTGGTTGTGAATCTCCTTCAGAAACTGTTGGTGATGGAACTACATTCCTGTTACTTATTTCAGGCTACATGAAAGGAAGTTACTGGGAAATTAGTGGAACTTGCAGCAAACCTATACAAGAGTAAAATAAAACAAGAAGACTATCTCTCCACAGATAAGACTGGAAGTACCGACACTGTCAACAATGGCAATAGGCCAGTAAGCACGGAGCGGGTGCTGGGTGATGTCTCCTGACCCCAGCTTCATGATGCTGTCCCTTAGCTTGGCCTAAGCTTGAGCTGTTTGGTATGCACACAGCCCAGATTGCTTAACCGCTCTGTCTCAATAGCAGGCAAACTCAGCACTTTCCTAGGAGGTGTGACTTTACCAGAAAGACAAGTGGCTGTTTCTCACTGCGGATGCATGCAAGGGGATCATGTGGGCCTGAGACTTCTCTTGCATATCATAAAGCATGCCTTAGGTTTCCATCTGAGTGTCGGTTTATGCTCTCACAACATATAACCTCGGAACACAGGTCCGAGGTTATATAGACAGAGACCTTAAAAAAATCTTGCATTCATGTTTGGAACTTTAAGGGTAGGAAAGGCCAACTGCAGAATCAAAACCAAATCAAACGAATCAAATGCAGAACAAAACCAAATCAGAAAGGTTTATCAGAGTACCACAATTAGGAATGTGGCATTTTGCTGTTTAGATTACCGTTGAAGTGGCAAAGATGTCTCTTACCTGCTGCCTGCTTTGTGGCAGGTGCCAGCTCATAGCTCAAGTACAGGTGTATAAAACGGCTGTCATACCACAGACACATGCTTGCCAGATGTCACCAAGGATGTCAGACCCTATTAAAAAATAAGAAACCATATTATTATATTAGAAAGGGATGCGTTAGGATTGTTGGTAAGATAAAGATGAAAATAGATAAAACCATTACGTCCTTCCGAATAATCTCTCATATATTAACTGCCTTTAATTAGATCTAGAGTGGTTTAAATTCTTATATTTTAATTGTAAAAATGGCTAATTTGTGTATAGCTTTTTCATGTTACTATTCCACGTTACTTTAATTGGAGTACTTATGTAAGTTCAGGAAGCAGGATTTCATTCCATCTGGTGATTACTTATTTACTTACATTAATCACACAGTCAGAAAACACAGAATTAAAAAAAAAAAAGTAACTACCGGGAACTTGACTGAACATACTAGAGAAATTAATTTGACTAAATGTGTCCATATGGAGCCTGAAAATTTCAACATATTTCAAAAAATTAATATAGGAAACAAATGGAGAACTGCAAATGCTAGGATTTCCCCAAGAAGCATAATTTTTCCTATTATTTGAACTAGCTTATATATAAAGCTGCTTTTGAAGCTACTTACACTTTATTATTGTTATAATTCATGTATTAGATATACTTATTGAAATTGAAGCTATTCCCTTTCATTCCACTGTGAATCTCTAACCCAAATTAAATACCTAAAAAGACCTATTATGTGACCTTAGGGACCGAAAAAAAAAAAAAAAGAAGAAGTTTCTACTGGGTCATATTAAGTTCTACAGTAAAATATTTTCAGACTTAAGCAGGTGCTTAACTCACCTGAGGAAGAGTAATGCATACTGTAAGCAACCTTTGAGAAGCTGGGCACTTTCCAGTTTGTGAAGCATATCATTCTGGTGTCTTTCAAATGCACTAAGGTAACCTACAGATCATTTACCAGCAGCAGATAATTACTCGAGATCCTCTCCTAAATCAGCAAGAAGCCTACAAGTGGATGTGTATACAATATAATATGACCATCCTATCTGCTCCTCTAGACGTGGAAGGCATTTTGTATTCTCTAATAATTTAGTTAGCCAGTAATATGCTGAAATTCGCCGAGTGATTTATGCTGGCACAAGGTATCAGATTACAGCACAGACGGTGGTTTTGCTTTATTGTTGGACATTTGGATTACACAAACAACAGGTTGCAATGCTATTCTTTTAAAACTCCAGTGGTATGCGAATGTGCACATGTGCGCAGCAGATCCCAAGTTATTGCAGTAAAGACAGTCTCCACTTCTGCTATATATTTTCCCAACTGATATGCCTTTTTTTTTTTTCTGGAGGTTGTCATATGGTATAACACTTTTACTAGTTGACTCCTCCCACTTTTCTTCAAACCGCATCCTGATTTTTGGCCTCAGAAACCAAACATATGCACAGCTTGCATAACAACACATGATATTGTTTCTGTATAACATCATACCAGCTGGGATATAAATTCTTACAGACAATTTTATGCGAATGAAAAATACCTACATTAAGACATTTTCCATAGTTATGCAATACATACCGCAGCAGAGCATATGGTCTATAGTCAGAGATCCTCACATATAACTACAACAACAGCCCCAAGTCAGGCCTCAGATCTTCAGACAATGTAATTTTGGATATATTATTATAATTTCTCTCCATTTTATTTCTTCCTTTTTCTATTCCATTCTGATTTCCTGAAATCTAGCAACAGCTAGTTAGCCTGTATGTCAAAGACCCTTACATTTTATCTGTTTGATATTTATTGGGTATTGAGACCAATCAAATCTTATTTAATGAAAGGACAGCTAATATTTTGGGAAATTATTAATTGTATCTTGAACTGAAGATATAGCATCAGGAAGAATTCATAGTTTTTGGCATAATTTATTTCAATATTTATTATTTTCATATTAGAAAACTGTCCTACTTCTGATCTGAGTTTGCCTGTCTTCCATTTACAGCATCTCTTTTTCTTTTTGTATGCTATTATCGCTTCAGGATAAAAAGTGCTCGCATATGAGTGTTTTCTCGTGTAATTTATAAACTTTAATCAAGTAACCGCACAGTCCTCCTTTCTGATAGTCAAACTGATTGAACTCATACATTCACAGCAAAGAATTTTCTCCAGCTCTTAGTTTCATTTTTAATCCAATTTTGTGACATCTCCTTTTTTTTTTTTTTCCACCATTACCTTTAAAACGTGGACCCCAGAGCTACAGGAAATATTGCAACAATTGCATCAGGATTCAAGCATTACATTAGCTCTTCTCAGGCAGATCCTCAGTGGGATCTCATGGTGAGGCTGGTCCATTGTGGCCCTGCAGAGTCAAGGTATTCCAAGGCATAGTACTATATTTTTTGGGTGACATTCCTCTGTACTGAACATGCAACTTTGCATTTATCTCTCTAGAAACAGTTCTTGTTTCAGTTGGCACGGCTTAACAGAAATGTCCTCTTTCCAGATCTCATTGTTATGTAGCACTCAGCTAATCTTTCCGTCGCTCTCAGATTATTAACATGATAATTTCTATATGCATCTCCAGATCACTCCTGGGAATACTGAATAGCACCGGGCCTACCACTGATCTCTGTTGGACATCATTAGAAACAATTCAGTAATAATTTTCTTTTAAAAACATTTTTGATGATCTGCTATCCAACTCTCAAATGAATTGAAATTGTGACTACTTATGTTCTATAGTAGTTTGTTTTTAAATCAAATGTATAGTGTTTACCAATTTTCATTATGCCTTTATCAGTTAAACCAGCAGGAAATGATTGTCTCATAGCTAGATGAAAAATCTGTTGACTGTGTAGGAAACAAAACTCCTGTAACTCATGTTCTTCAATTTGTTATGCACATGTAACTTCACTTCACCTTTGCAAAATAGTCCATATATAAGTAATACAATTCATGTTTCAAAACAGGAGGAACTCTAATTTGTCTGACCTGCTTATTTTAAAATGTGTCTGGACTTTCTGAATTTATCCAAAATGGCTTTAGGAAATTTACACAAGTGGTGCAAAATAGTGGCGCGTGCACTTTCCTCAGTTGTTCTTAACAGATCTTGCTAACAGTTTATCTATCCTACGGATAATCTATAATTTATAATTTGCCACAAAACATAAACTTCATAAAATTGGACAAGGATCCTTAGATGACTGTTAATCTGTGCATTGGCAGACATACCTTGTATACATTTCTTCAGTAAGAGAGACAGCATTGCATCTGTTATGTTGGCAGTTAAAAGTACATCCACAATTCTCTCAAAATTTTACTAATTTCATAAGCTCTTGCCTCCTTCTCTCCCCCATCGGTGTTTAAGGGAATGTAGCAATGTACTCAAAAGGTATGTGAGCTTTTTCAAAGGGAGAGGAAGGGACGTGCTTTGAGGGGAGGAGACTAGTTTAAAATGTCTCCCTTTCTTTTTTGGACCCTCTTCCTTTCCAGAAGAAAGCTCTGCTGAAGTTTGTTAAAAAGAAATTTCCAAGTAGTTTATTCGTTTTTATTTTACATAAATCTCAGGCTCTTGGATTTATAGGACTTTTCTGTCTTTGTACAGGGTGAATATCACAGCTAATAGCACAGTAATAATTACAAGTCATTCTCTTTATCCTTTTTGTGCACTGCCAATCGGCAAAGGTGTCTCATTTCACACATCATTTGCAACATCCTATGGTAATACCAAGTATTTTGGGGAATAGTTTTTGAATGTAGTCATTAATCTCTATTTTGGGGAGGTGTAATTCCAGATTCTGGACGCAATTCTGTAATTATTCTATGTACAGAACTCTAGTGAAGTCAATGAGCTAGCAAGACTGTGCTCGGGTCCTGAGTGAAAGAGAGTACAGGTGACTTTTAACTCAATTACAGGACTGTAGCATTTCCCAGCCCTGCAGCTGGATTGCACTTGCCACAACCCAACATAGAGAAGTAGGCTACCTTCTCTGTCTGCAGACTATGACCCATGGGATCACTACAACAGGTGGGAATTGGGGTTCACAAGCCATTCTGGATATTCTGCTCATATTGTGGAGTAGTAGAAAGCTATTCTCATGGTCTTATTCCTTTCACAACAGCTTGCACAAAGGATCGCTGTTAATTCCTACTAAGGCAAAGCAGCCACAAGTCAACAGTGATCCAGGCCCAACTTCAACACTGAGGCAGCTTGTGAAATTGAAAAACGTGAACAAAACAAAAAGTACTATATGTATCTGTGAAATCTTACCAGCCCTGGCAGAGGTATTCATTGCTCACTGATGACTGAGAATGTCCTCTTGCCCAGTGACTAGCTGCAAGTTGGTAGTGGAGTAAAAATGTGGGGTGAGCAGAGCATTACAGTAAATCACTAATTAGTCTGATGTCACGCTTTGGGAAAGGCAGCCAGAAATGTGCAACTCATTCTGCCTTTAGAATCAAAGGTACCTAATTGCAATCTCATTTTGTGAAAATACAGTGCTAATGACTTGCTTGTGCAGTAGCTGGATACCATATTAACTGCCACATAAGCTAAGCTTTTCCATTTTAACAATCCTAGTTAGAATATCTGACTGCCTGTCCACAAACTTTCACCAGCTGTTGCTGTGTCTCATTGGAGAGGAGAGATGCAGCAGCTCCCACTAGGCAATAAAAGAGAGAGGAGTCACTGACAGATTTTGTGCTAAGATGTCCTACCTCACTTCAGAAGGATTGGTTTGACTCGTTCATAAACACTGGTCTTTTGAAAATCAAACCATGATCTTCAGTTCAGATTATTCTGTGGCACCTCAACAGAGGTTAAGTCCTGTTCTCTTTTGCAGTGACTTCCACTCAGTTCCTTTTAATTTTTGGTGTCTTTTATGCTAGTACTCAGCTGTTTGTATCTTTGAATTCTTTTATACCTGCATTGCTTCTGCACGTTTGATGTGAGTTGTACATCATCTTTCAAAACTTTATTACCAGCTGTATATATACACATTTTTGAAGCTCTCATTACTTACAAAATCTTATTTTGGGATAAGGGTTATTTCTGTTATCTTCCAAGCATCCCACTGACAGCAACTGTGCTGTTAGAAATCAAAGGTAGCTTGTTTTGTTCCTATCTATGTCTTTCTTTCAATGAATCCCAAATTAAGCACATGCATGGGTGATATGCAATGACATTTGCTATTACCTGATGATGCTCCATAAAATCCTCTTCAACAAATTCTGCATGTTCTAATCTGTTAATTATAGTAAGAGCTATACTATTAAATATTTATCTGAAAGCAGTTCTCTGAAAGTACAGAAATGATGATAGCTTTCTAAAAAGCTGTACTTTGGCATACAACAAAGACAGACCTTATACCAGGCCACATTTTTCACACGGCATTAGATGGCTCCAGAATTTGATATGTTAGGTTCTCTCCTACATGTCTGATGCAATCTATTACATGTGTAATTCTATTTCTGAGTATGTTCTTCAAATGTGAATTGCAATAATTCTTTCACTGTGGCTGGTACTGTGACAGTGCCCATTCTTCTAAATCTATATAGCTGGCATTTTCTCCAAGTGCAGAGCAGAACACTTGTCTCCCCAGGCCTCCAACAGTTGTTTTCAATAGCCTTTCATATAAAGAAGTGTTACTATAAGCTGTTGTATCAGAAATCAGATAGGATCTTAAACAAAGCAAGATGTGTATCAAGTTATTCACACACAAATGGTATTCAGAGTCCATCAAGAGGAGAATGAGGTCTATAATTATTATATTTAAGAATCATGGGGTGCAGCCAGAAGTATTGAAGTAGGAACCTTTCCAAGGATATATCCTGAAGAAGCAAAAGGGGCAGTAATAAAACTAAACTTCCCCCTGCAAATAAAAGGACTGTTGGAAGGATGAATTCATTAGCGAGGTGCTGGGGGCCAAGTCGTTCTCTGTTTCCTTCTCATTACATCCAGGCCATGACTATGTTCAAACTGTATCTCAAATCACAACACTACCTGCGAATATTAGTGAGCTGAAAAAGAAACCAGTAAAACTGTTATGGCCCCAATGTCAGTATGAAAATCAGGACCGCAATCTATTAACTCTAGTAAATGGCTAGTAAATGTAGCTAGTAATCTATTAGCTCTAGTAAAAGCTATGTAAGTTATAATTCGTGCTTCTTGGAGATGCCCCATGTATTCAGAGAACTCCC